CGGCGGAGGGGAGGAGGGAGGCGAAGCCCGGGGTGGACGGTGGCCTCCTCGCCGGGGCGGCTCTTCGGAGCGATGCTGTTGTCATCGCGCGCCCTGTCTTTGGGCCGCCTAGGGAGCCGGCAAAGCCCCAGGGGTGACGCCTTGCAAGGAGGTAATGAAACTCCTGGCCGCCAGGGATCACGGCCCTTCGGAGAGGGCGTTTTCTGCCAGCACGTGGCCTTTCACGCCTCGCGAAGACGCTGCCCTTCAGCAGGCCCGTTTTCTCTCTTGAGGCATCTCTCGGTATCCAAGCAGTTGGAGGCAGCGCTTAGGTCAGCAAAATGCTCCTCTCTCGTCAAAGTGTGTGCGGTATCACTGCAGGCCAAGCGTGTGGGAAAAGGAGAGGCAGCATCTCTTTTCCCTTCGAAACGTCAACGAGCAGCAAAGTCCCTGCAGGGAGCACAGCTTAGTGGGAGCCGCGTTCGCAGAGACCGTCTGAGCCCCAGACCGGTTTGGCCCCATCGCTTCCCTCACTCCGATCCCTGCAGCCCCCTTTTACCTCAGGGCTGTTACACGGGTATAAAAAAAAAGAGCGTAGCTCCTTAGTGGCTCTGTCTCCAGCAGCACCATTGTAGCAGCCAGGTGGGCACAGCCCTCTGATCGCCTCCTCCCATCGGCTGTGCCGTTCCGGTGCATTTTCTGCGCTGTCAGGTATGCTAGCTTTCTCCCTGCTGAGGATCCTCTTCCGCCTCAAGGCCACAGCTGTCCAACTGAAGCAGCTTTCCAGGCCATTTGTACCGATCTGACCCCAAAAGTCACTCTGAACTGGAACTGCCATCTGCCCAGTTTCTGGGCGTTTTTATTGTGCAGTTGTCTGTTGCCTTCGGAGCTACTGCGCAGGCTGATCTCTGCAGTCCTTGGAACCGATTATCCAAAGGGGTCCTTTTTTCCCTCTTTTTCCATTTGTTGGTTCTTTTTTTAGTATCTGAAAGGTGGTAACCCTGTTCCGGCCACCGGTAGAGCCATAGCAGAAAGCCCTGCTATGCTTTGAAATGCGTTTGTCTGCATTTTCCTTAGCACGGAAATAATTACACAGTGCAAAACGATGGGGAACGGGGCAAGAAGGGTCAGAGAGTGGCCAAAGCAAAAGGTTTACTTTTGTGCCACAGGAAATGCTAGTGTGATGTTGGCAGGCTGTACACCCAGAAGAAAGGAGGATATGGTAGAAGAGCCGAGTAAATATAGTCATTTTAACAGTGCTCATGTTTACTTTCTGTGGCACAAACTATCTTTTATTCTTCTGTCTTAAACCACTGCTGTTGTTGTCGCGTTGTTGTTAGCAATATAATAAAGATAAGGCACTGCTGGAGTATCAAATTGCCCCACAACCTGGAATAAGACCCTCACTGTGACAGTTGCTAGGCAGACTCAGAATATATGATGCCTCTCCCCCAAAATTTGTAAGTATAAGTCTAATAAGAAAGGAATCTCAGGCATAACTGTAAAAATGGAAAGAGGTCCTTATCACTCCATCTCTGTCATGGCCCCAAAAAGATGGGCAAAGTAGAAGCAGAAGAGGATGGTTGAGCACTGAGATGTAGGATGATCTTCACTCCTGCAGAGTGTATGCTACAACATTAACCCCATAGCAACAGCAACAGTGGCAGTAGGTAACCCAGAAAATGTAGTTGCCATGCAGCCAAGCAATAAATACAGCAGATTCAACGTATCGCAAGTAAAACTCAGTCAGTGCTGGAAACTGGATAAGTGTTAGTAGTGGAAATGGATGTGGGAGGGTGGGAAAGCAAGGCCGCTGGGAGACGAAGAGAACATAAGGAATTTCACATGAAATCACATAGGGGCAGGAGACATTGGCTATGTTCGCACTGCTAAGCCAGATAGGGCCAGGGCAGAGTCCCGAGCAGTGGCATACAATTGTTCATCTTGTTAAATTCTTAGCATACGTGGTCTTGGACCGGGGCCAACTTCTGCTTTTCCAGAAGATATCTGGCCATGGCTCAGGACCACACAGACCAAGGCCCATTCCTAAGAGACAGTTTAAATATGGCATACCCTGCTTTAAAGGAGGAAAGATTTGAGCTGGATGGACGTGAGCTGTGCCATCGCTGTCCGGCCTCAGGGCCAGTTGCTGCCCTATTGTGTCTATGTGATATGACATAGGCATAGTCACTGGTGCCAGGAAGGGAGAGGGAGAAACAGAAGAGGTGTGAAGCTGAGGACCAGGCAAGAGAAAAGTGCACAGGAGATGGGCAAAGGAGGCAGTATAAGGAAATAATGTCCTGAGGTGCAAGTGGGGAAGTGACTGAAACAATTCAAGTTTCATATCATACTCCTATGTTTACACGCTGGCTCTTTAGATTTTAATTTTTCAGGATACGGGCCAATCTTCTCTAATACCTGTTAGATATACACTCAAAGAAAGCATCATCGTTAATACCAAAATACCAGAAAATAGCAGCCCCTGACTTATCAAAATGCTCTTGGATCTATAGTAAATCTAAAACCTACAAGATTATCATTTTTCTCTTCATTCAGTGTGAGAATGAGGAAGAGTACAGAGAAATCAAGAAGACTCATTTAGAACGAGAGAGTTCTTCACGATTAGCTGCCTCTGCCCATAGCATCACAGCAGCAAATCACTGCAATATGAATGAAAATAGGTAAGCGTTTTCCTTCTTTTTTAGCACTGAGCCGTACAACTAGTTGCAGTTTAATGCGTTGTGTTATTTTTGCCTTTAATAGGATTTATTTTTTAATTATCACCTTTTATGTTGAAAAATTGCCCAGTGTATTCTCCTTTCTTCTGGTTTAATGAACAAGTTAGCAGCTCCTGACACATTTGTATACTGGCATTTTTGTTCTTTTGCACAAAGAAGTTGTGAATTCAAGTGCGAGGCTTGTGGAATGAGTAACTACAGCTAGAGCAATGCAATCGTCCGAGATGTATTCCCAAATATTTAGTTGTAGGGCACCATTATGTTGTAGACACCAATTCACATAGGCGATCATATTATATACCCTTTTCTTTCCTTACAGTGTTAGGAGTTTCAAAATTAGAATTTACCTGTATGTCTGGGTTTATCTATAAACTCTGTGGAAAAGGTTGAGAAAAATATTCATAATAATGCCTGCAATACTCAATTCCAGAACGTATTTTAGATGCAACATTTTCAGGATTACAAGCAATCTATTCTGTGTAATTAGTAGGCATTTCAGGACAAGAAATTTAGACTTTAAAAATAGCCAATTTACAAAAGATCTAGCTGTCTGCTAGCTGTCTACCCACTGTTTTATGCACACAGATCCCTATCAATGTCAGATCAATCATACTGAGTTTCTTTGGAGGCTTCCAGCAGTTAGACTTAGTCAGACATCTTCTTAGAGTTCTTAGAGTATGCTGCTTTGTACATGCTGGTGGTCAGTATTTCAAAAAAAAATCCTTTTCTGGTAGTATCAGAGTATCTTTTGAGGTGAAACTTCTAAAATGAGAGAATATTAGTATTTATTGCAAGAAGCTTTTCTATTGTACACATCACTGAGGAGTTTGAGCAACTCATATCATTAATATTGGAAAAAGTCATGGAGAAAACTAATATAAATAGTGCATATTCAGAAATATATATTCAATTTCTTTGTCCTTAGGTAAGTCACGTGTGTTTCATAAAGTGAAAACAATACACATAACAGTTTATTTTATTGTGGCTGATGGTGCGCAGGCTTGCTATTTCTATTACCACAACGTCATATGTTTTATGTCGCATTCATTTTCAGGGAATAACGTGGTGGTCATAGCCTGCTATGTCACAGGGTTAATTCTACCCTTCCTGGAAGCGGTACAGTAATTTGTGTTTTGCTTGACATTTTATTCAGTACTACTAGTAGCAATTATACATTAAAGAAACAGCAAAGAAGATCTTAAATGCTTATTTGCCTCCTAATTCTTCCCTCATCTGCCCTGCTTGTGAGATGTTTATGTGATTTATGCTACTGTAGGACATGATATCAAATGCTAATGTTCCCACTGCTCAGGAGGGGCTACTGAGGCTGTAGCTAAACCGATAGTTCCCATGTCAGGAACTCAGGTCTCTCTCGCAACCACTAGGTTCTCACGCTGGCGTGTCTCCCCTCTAGTTATGCCAGCGCAGCTGTCTTTGGGGCTCGCTTGTAAAGTCACTCAAGACTGAAACCAGAACTTTTTTCTGGTCCGATACCAGAACTCTTTTTTTTTTTTTTTTTTTGGCTGAGCTTTTGCTACCCCGTTTCCAGCCCCGCCACAAAAACGGTTTTGGGTTTTGTCAGCATAGCTGAGGGCTGGTAGCAAAGAGAGGAGCAAGAACACCTGTAGACATTAGCATTTTGTACTGTGGAACTACAGCCTGAGGCACAGGCTGAGCAAGGCCCCGTTTGACATGAAAGCCTGCAGAGTCAGGCGGAGATACCCCAAATATCTTGCATGTAGGCTGGGTGCCACAGCCAGCCCAGTCCCTGCAGACCACAGCTCACCACAGGATAATGTACACGTCTTCTCAGTAGAATATGGCTGATTGGGCTGCTGCAGTTGGATTGCTCACAATATGCTTAGGTGGGCCCCAAGCAATGTGCCAAAGACCATGAAGGAGGTCTGCAGCACAAGTGGAAGTTGCACTTACTTGTCACAAGCTCTAAGCAAAACCTCTGAGTCTTGGGTACACTTCCAAGGAGCTACAGCTTCTCATGGATGCTTCAGCCCCATGCTTTAACAAGGCTGTATGAACATGGCTAACCAAGGCATAGTTGTACGTTTGAAAAGAGGAAAAGAAATGACAGCATCAGCCTGCAAATTCAAAATAGCACTAACTATCTTATTTTTCTTAGGGGAGGAAAGAGAGCACAGTTGTCCATTTTATAAACTCCAATTCTTGCTTTCATAAAGAGCCTCGGTCGTTAAAGCAGAGGTGTCCACATTGTACTTGAAAAGTAGTACAGTGTGGGAAACAGGGAAGCTTCTGAGTTATGATCCATGGCTTCTCTCACAGCTAGTTTTTAGGGACTTTTAATTAGTTCTGTTCCTTGAAATGATGTGGTGAAATAAAGTATATTTTGTACCATATTCCTTTAAGTATATACTGTCTAATACATTAACTATAAAGAAGTGAGAACTGTCCATAAAATATAATAGGCTGAATAAAGGGGAATGTGACAGGGAAAGGTATTGTGTTAAAATAGTCTGTGCGACCTTAATTACAGTTTTAGCCTTAATGTAAACTGTGTCCTTAAAAAAACTCTTACTTTGTGTGCCTTGCTTTAAAATTTTCAGATAAATATTTTCTTCAATTACGTCCATGTAAAGTTTATTTTTGGACATATTTTTATTGCCTATCTGACTTCTTCACATCCAAAGCTTCTCTCAAATAAATGAAAGCTGAAAGTACTGTCTGTATTATAGCTTTCTTCTTCAGAAGATGGAACAGCTCACATTTCTTTGTGTCTACTGTTTGCATATGTTTCCCTTTGTCTGCAGTACCAGCCTATCTTTCTTTGTCTTCAGAATTTGTATCAGATTAGTATAAACAGTGCTACGAAAGGCTGGCCATTGAGCACAAAGACAATCCGGTCAGCTTCTAACACATTTCCTGTTTCAGTTCACATATGGTTTTATCGCCTTGGCTTATAAATTGTCACCTGTAATAGTGAAATAGGGCTCCATAACTGAAACTTATACTTCAGAGCCTAATCTTCTTCTCCAGCTATCCCTTAAGAGATGGTGAGCAAGTGGCCATTCATCTCTGTATTTTTTTCAAGTATCTTGATACAGACTTTATATTAACTCCAGAATTACAATTTGCCTCGAAGGGAAAGATGAGAAACATGATCCAAATTTGTAAATGAACTCTTGGTTTCAGTAAGCTTGTTTCCAGATACCAATAGACTTTATCCTGCCAGCAGGTTTTAAATTCAAAGTTTTGGTAATATATAAAACATTTACCTTTTTCAAAGCCAGCTTTGTGACACTCCATTACTGTAATTTCCATTTCCAGCTTGGCAATACCAATAAATAAAAATGAGAAAATGCTTCGGTCACCCGTCTCTCCCCTCTCTGATGCATCAAAACACAAATACTCGAACGATGATTTAACTTCCTCCAGCAGACCTAATGGCAGCAGTCTATTACCTTCCATCTCCTCCAGCAAAAAACATAAGGGTGAAATCCAGTCACAGCCACATGCCGGAGACTTCGATGTAAGTTTATACTGTTGTTCACTAGCTGTATATTTTTCATGTTGTATTGCAGTCTATGCTAGTTTTGCAGAATATTATGCAAAAAATTGTAATAATGAATGCTGAACTGTAAGTTCCAGTTTTTCCTTTTTTGAGTGTAGCAAGGCACAGAAGAAAGGAAGACAGGCAGGCCATAAAGCAGGCAAACACTTAGCAAAGGCTACATAACCAAAAGGTAAAAGCTAATGGCCCAAAACAAATGGATCTAGGCCTCTAGAGGATAGCTTGGGCATGATGCAAGGCACCTACATCCAAAAGTGTGGCATATTAGGCCTCCACTCAGATGCTGCCTAACCATGAGCGTGCCTGCAGTCAGGCACTCCTACATGTCTTGCATCCAAGCTTTTCGTATGCTGCTACTTACTCTTGCCACTGGTGAATAGCTTAGCACCGACTTCACACCTCAGCCCCATCAGAGCCCAGGCATTCAGGTATTTATCTTGTCAGAGAGTCTTGGTCTAATAAACGTGTCCAGAGCGCCCTTCCAGATAAGGCTATGTACTAAATTGGGTGGCAGCTACTGCCTTAAAAGTACAGAGGGAAAGGGAGTAGGTGCTACACCCCATTTATGCATGGGCTCTGTGGTTAGGATGTTGGAGTAGTGTCTGTTACCACTTCTGGTTGAGGGAATTCACATCTCTGTCTCTCACCTCTCAAAACAGTACCTGAACTCCCAAACTACAGGACATCGTGGGTGAAACAGCAAAGGGAGAATATTCTCATGTCCTCCCCCTGAAGCTGTTCTGCTTTGTGTGGAATACCCAGAACAAGCAATTTGGCTACCAACATATCGATGTTCACTACTGGAGCATCTAGTCAAGTCATTAAGGCACCCTTCTGTTGCTGGGAAGGCCTACGCTCCTTTCCTTGCTACAGAGGCTGTTTGTATGTTTTATCCAGTCTCTATCTATTTATTGTGAAATAATTTGTTGTTTGATAGTTAATAGGCCAAAAAAGCCTTACAGCAACTTTCGGCGAAACAAATTACCAGAGTTGTGGTAGTGGTCACTCCCAGCTACTTTTGCTGTGGAGATAACTGACCAGTAGGGATAACTGACCCATATAGGCATATGTCTAAATGTAAATGTATTTATTTTTTGAGAGTGGGGGAAAGTGGTAACTATAATTTTAATTTTAGAGGTTTTTTTTAATAAGTTATCATAAGTTATGTGTTTCAAGGCTGTCTCACAGATGCCTTTAGTATATTGAAATAAAATGAAGTACTCAAATTTTTAAGCCATAAAAAGGCATTTTTAACATATTGTAGTAATTCATCATTTTATGGAGTAAATGTAAATTTTTAAACATTTTAACTTTTTAAACCTAAGTTTAGAGGTTTATAACCCATTCAGAATTATAATGATATGATTCTTCACTGGATATCTGGAAAACAATTTAAATTCCTTCACAGGCAAATGTGTTGGAAATCAAAAGTAGAAAGTGATTGCTTTATGACCCACACCCTTCACGAATGCGTTTCACTGAGATTTTCTGCATAGCCTAGCAATGCACCATTTGGTCAACATTTTAACAACCCTTGCAATAAAATTCATGTGTGTCTGGTTATTCATCTGAAAGCTTTAGCCTGCTGAACTGATCTGGATGTGTCATATAGAAGATGAGAGCTCCTGAGCCATAAATGTTAAATTTAGCTTTGTTTTATTTGATCTTTCTGTCTGGCACCTATCTGGCATGCCCAAGTGGTCATTTGAAATTTTGTCAGAGATCACAAGCAAGGGAGTGGTTTTTATCTCTTTGAACTTTTTGTCCATTTCTCTATTCCATTCCCTTCTCTTGCCAGAAAGAGAAGGAATTGCATTTTCTGGCAGTGGTTATCAACCAAGGGCAAACTAGAGCTCTCTGCTTTCCACTGCACAGCGCATGTGCCCTTCATCCCATCATGGTGGGATGAAAGGCACATGAGGTTACATGAAGAACTTATCTCCAGCAGACACAGAACAGGGCTGCAGTTGCGGGAATGTGTGACACCCTCTTTTCAACATGTGGACCTGCCAAAAGGCACGTGCCTCTGCTGTGGCACAGAGCAGTCACCTTTCAAGCGAATCAGGAACCTAGAGTAGAAAGAAACCCAGACCTTGGGCTGCAAATTCACACCACACAGACACATTAGCAGGGCAGTGAGAAACAAGAGTAAAACAAGTGAGTCTTGCTTTCCCAGGGCAAGGTACAATGCTAGCTTGGAAACTGAAGAGTAGAGATATAACTTGATCTTCTAAATGATCACAACAGATCTGTTATTTAATAATTTCACTTACTGTGTTACAGAGCCCTTTGATAGTTACTAACAGTTCAGCTCCAGTTCTTCAGTATATCACGCTGAAACTCTAGCCCTTTTCAAAGCACTCCGAGCAATATCTGTGAATTTGTGGCTATCGGTGACAGGACAGTTATACATAACTCCCTGCTGAAATAGTAGGAAAACTAACTGGCAATTTACAGCCCAATGCAAAGATGCTTCTGTTTTTTATCAGTTGCTTTTTTGAAGTTAGTAGCCACCTCCTCAATGTATTCTCTGTTGTTTGTTGTCTAGAAAGCAATTCACATCAATTCAGAAAATGTTCTTCTCTGCAATAAGCCGCAGTCCCAAGCAGAGCTCTGGTCACCTTTGTCCAGCACTCCCAGGGACTGCAGAAGGACAAAGCTTATCTTCGATGATATGTAAGTATAGATGCCTCTAAAATAAAGAAAGCAAACAATATCATTTTCTGCATTGAAAGAGAGAAAAATAAATTTGTCCAAGAGAAGCTCAAACATGGCCAATACTGTTATAGTAATACTGTACACTCAGCAGTGAATTAGACATACTGGATGAACTGTTTAGTTTGTCTTCATAAAATAAGTTTCTAATTACTGGGGAGCCATGACGGCTGACTGTTCCCTAAAGGCCAGAGAGCTGAGGGGGATAGCACAGGCAGCAGGTCAGGGCCCTCACCAGCCAGAGGCCCATCTCACCTCCCCTGACCAAGGCAAGCAGGGCAGGTCTGGGGGTAGTAGCCAGGTCCAACCAAGAGTCCAGATGCTCAGCAGGCCTGAAATCAAGCTCATAAGTCAGGTCGGGAGCAGAACTGGTGACTGCCAGGCAAGTGCCAAGTGGCAAGGCAGGTCTGAGGTCAAGCTAGAAAGACAGGCACGGGTCACAGGCCAGATCAAAGAGGTCCATAGCCAGGCACAGGCATAGCTGTGACAGGGCTGAAGACAGACACACCTACAACGTAGCCCAGACAGGGCCTGGAGGCCCAGGCCTGAGTTTAAATGGGGCTTCTGGGCCAATGGGCAAAGCCTAGAGGCTCCAGGGAGGCTGGCCATTAAGGCCTATTAGTGCCCTCCCGGCCACTGAGGCCACTTGTCATTGCAAGGCAGGGTGAGAAGGGCTTTCTTCCTGGGTGCCCTTGGAGCAAGGAGGGAGGACAAATGGGAGCATGTAGGCCTGAGCCTTGACAGCTGCTGCTATTGCTGCTACTGCTGCTCAGAAAAAGGTGCATTCATGAAGGCTGGGTGAGTACGAGGCAGGAGTGGTTACTATGAGTACCTGGAGGGATGCCTGCCCCTCCCCACCTTCATGACGTCCTTCAAACATCCCCTGCTCCCTTCTCCTGAAAACAGTTCCAGCTTGTAATTGTCTTTCTTTTGGTTTTGGTATATTGAAATTCCTGGTTCATTTCCCAAGGTAATTAATGATGTGGTATTATTTAGATAAAGTATAAAGCTGAAACTGAAAGCTGGAATCCTAGCATCTAGAAAATCCCCTCTTTTTGCCTGGTGAGGTTCTGGCCTGGAAATATCAACTCTTCTGGCTTGGCTAGAATAGAAGAAATTCTGTTTAAGCTATGTCTCAGGCTACCTGGAGTGAATGAAGCTCCGTAAGCTGCATGACCTTGACAGGCCCTTCATAATCCCATACTTTCACCCACAAGATCACTCACTCTTGTGTACCAAAGGGAACCTTGGGAAAACAGCCCTATTTCCTCAGGAACTGTCTTCTATCATAACTGTGATTTTTAATGGATAATAATAGTAATTATAAGGTTTCTTCACACCACCTCCATTCTAGTTGTATTCTACAGAGGGACCAGATAATCTCACCAAGGGAAACTAGTTTTCCTACATAAAGTATAAATAATTCCCATTGACTTCAAAAGGAGGTATGTGTTTTGTATGTCAAGAAAAGAAGGCTAGTGAGATTCATTTCTGTGAGCATTCATGACAGGCATAAGGAGATGCAAGGTGAATGAATGTAACCATTTTCTCTGTCCTTTTTGTGGAAAACTCTCCCCAGTGTATATATTCTAATTCTGCCTCCCTCCATGCTATTTCTTCCTCTTCTGATGCATTTATTCAACAGTCTCCACCGAGGAAATTTAAAACTGTTTAGAAGTGCTATCTAACTGTTCATATTTCTTAAAATGCCTTATCATCTATAATTTACTTGCAACTGTTGAACTTTTCTGCATTTTAAAGATGTACATAGGAAACAAAAAGGCATCAGCGTACTCAAAAGGTAGGAAGTGCTCATGTGAATGGATTAGAAGAAAAAATGCAGTGAGAAACAGCTACAATAGAACTATTGTATCTTCATCTGATTCTCCTTCAACATGCTGATAAAAAAACAGGGGGACGGGGTTTTTTCCCCTTATGATGCTGTCACAGGAAAACTACTTTTTTTCAGCGTCTCTATCACCTAAGAGGCTTTTATCACTTTTTTTCTCCATTAGTGATACATGTGATTTCTCTGGCAGGCGTCCTTGATAAAACTGCTTCACCTTTTGAAAGAGAGAGACGATAAAACTGTTTGTGTATAATGCCTTCCATGTAGAATGTCCCCAAGCAGTTTGTGGTCTGTAAAAAAAAGGCAACCTAAAAAGCCAAATAAGATAAGACACAGAAGTCAAATATGTCTCAATTTGCCCTTAAAAAACAGAAACAGTGAAATGCCTGTTTTTCTAACTAGAGGAGGGAGATCTTCATGTACTACAACTGTTGTCCAGAACCTGTATCGAGGAAGCCCCACCAGAATACCAGCTATGCTAGGCTGGGACTCTGAAATTGCTGTGTAGAGAGGTCCCTGAAATGTTGCAGATTAGATTGGCTACAAATGTTGAATGTCAACAAATTTGACTCACGTGTTAGAAGGATCAAATTAAACATGGCAGCCAGTGTCTTTCAAATTCTGCACCACAGCAGAGGATTTGAAGAAATGCAATACAGTGGATCTAAAATCATCTAGTAATCCTGATGGCAGTGTTTTGTCCAAAATGATGCCCGTGAGGTATTTCATCTCTTAATCCATGAAGTGCTGAATTACTATAATCCAGCCATGGCTTTAAAGTCTTCATTTTAATCAGACTCTATAGTTTGAAGAGATTAAATCCCTGTTATTTGATTTAAAACAACAGCTAATTTTTTTGACCACTCAGTATCTTGTTACATTATTCTCAATTTATTTTCTCCAGATCATTGACAACAGCTGTTGCTGGCAATAAATTGGAACACAAGTAGGTCAATAAAAAGTATATCTTGCTTGGCAGAGTGCTGTACGCACGTACATTGAAATATAAAGGTAAATATAGCTCATAATCTTTAAAAAAGCAGGCAAAATCCTACTTTCCCTCATTTGCCATTGTTTTCTGCCTGCTCTGAATATGCTTCAAGACACCCAGCATGTCACATGTGTAAGTGACATCAGTACTGTTTCCAGTATTAATGCTTAATAAGATTTTGTTTATTTTTTGCCATTTATGACTGTAGGAAGAGAACATTTTTAAGGTTACATAATAATGCCTGAAGACAAATTCAGTCCTGCTGTAATTCCACTGAATGATAAGCGTTCCCAATAACTGCATTTAGGAATGAAGTCTGTTGTCCTTCAAGTCATAAGCGCATGTATGCTGTGGGTGCCTGAGGGCACAGTCCCACACCCTCCTCAAAACACTGCGTGTGTGGTATCAAAAAGGTAGAGTATACCCAGCTTTCCAGTTCTCCTTTTGCATAAATCAGAACTTGTTCCTCAGGATTATTTTTTCACTTGCATTGTGGGTTGCCTTGTAAACCTGTTTTTTTTCCATTTCCATTTCCTTTCCTTCTTTTTTTTTTTTCCCTATTCTTACAGGGGCAGGATAATACAACTTCCTCCACATTTTTTTTCAGTTTTTCTGTTCACATTTTGTTGAATGTTTATTCCGCCTTTACAGATTTAGGTGCTGTATACACCCACCAGCCTTACATTGCCCCAGCTTTAGGGACATATCCTGCTGTGAGATAGCATTCCTGTGTTTGTTTGTCTACAAATAAACCGTATACCCAGGAAATGTTCCATCTGTAAAGGTGTGCCACATAGAGCTCATGAAGACCTCAAAAGATCGATTCTTGGGATATCTCTTAGTTTTGGCTTAGACCCCACATCTCTCATTCTCCATCTCTTCTTCCAAGTTCATCTATCTCACAGTGGAAAGAAAAAGGTAAACTTTGGTTATGACTCCAATGCAAGATCTGGAACTCAGCTCACTCTGCCTTGCCCAAAATGCCTCAAGAACTCTTCGTCTTCTGAGATATTTGGAGAGACCTCTGTAGTATTGAGCATATCCTCAGGAACATAGTTAAGGAGAAGAGCTTGGGTCCTCTTCCCATCAGCAATCTAAGATATTACTGCTCAGATAGGCCAACAGCTACTATACTGTGTTCCTCACAAATTCATATGCTTACTTTGAGTGCTCCCAATCTCTTGGCCTTGGGAGATTTCAAGACTTCAGCTGAAAATGTCATTCCTGCTCTTATCTTTTTGCTTATGGCAATCAATGTTTTCATGTCTACACTGCCCATGAGAAAATAACATTAGAGTCTTAGACAGCAGACTCTGCCTCCCATGATTAGGTAATTAACTTGCCTGTGCTCTGCAAGACCACCTACCCTTTTCTTTTTTTTTAAGGGACGCTTTTTTAGAGCTTGGTTTGATGGGAAATAGATGCTTAATACACTCTAGCTGGAGCTTCTCGTGGTGTAAAGGATTTATAGCCGTTACTCCCTGCTGTCAAAGAGAAGCAGGGGCTAGTTTGAACTTACAGGCTACAGCTCTGCCCCTCCTCTGTCCCTACAGGCAAGTGGTCCAGCACTGCTTATCTCCTTGTGATTAAAGTGTCTTCACCCCCCCAAAACAAAGAACAGTTTCTGCCTCCTGAGAACAGTTCCTGGCCCATGCAGTCCCCCAGGTGTGTCCAGGCATCGTCTGAGAGAGAGCTCAAAATGATGCCAAGGAGACTGTTAGCAATTAAACAGCATGGATGATCAAATGATAGAGCTAGTGTCCTTGCCCTGCTTCTTTCACTAACACAGGCATGGCTAGGGAACGCGTTTGTTGACAGACTCAGATCTGAAATAGCCTTTGATAATTTTACCGCTCTGGGAGGAGGATTTCTCACCTGACCCCCACGTGGTTCTGCGCTACCCTACCAGGGCTTGTCTTCCTCAGGACTCATTCCAAACATTGACATTACTCCTCCAAGAGCTAAAAGTCCATCCCAGGACTTCAGGGTTTGTCTTGCTGTCCTGGGCCACATAGCAGTGTGGGTTTCCATCACCCTCAATGCAAGGATTCACAGGTGTGGTATTTAAGAGACATTCTGATGCATCTGTATGCAGTTTAATTCCCAAGTCAGTTCTGCTGT